TGAGGGCATGAGGCCATGAGGGCATGAGGGGATGAGGGCATGAGGGCATGAGGGCATTAGGGCATGAGGGGATGAGGGCATGAGGGCGTGAGGGCGTGAAGGCATGAGGGCATGAGGGCATGAGGGCATGAGGGCATGAGGGCGTGAGGGTATGAGGGCATGAGTGCATGAGGGCATGAGGGCATGAGGGCGTGAGGGCATGAGGGCATGAGGTCATGAGGGCATGAGGGCATGAGGGGCTGAGGGCATGAGGGAATGAGGGCGTGATGGCGTGAGGGCATGAGGGCATGAGGGCGTGATGGAAGGAGGGCGTGAGGGCATGAGGGCATGAGGGCGTGAGGGCATGAGGGCATGAGGGCATGAGGGCATGAGGGCGTGAGGGCATGAGGGGATGAGGGCATGAGGGCATGAGGGCGTGAGGGCATGAGGGGATGAGGGCGTGATGGAATGAGGGCGTGAGGGCATGAGGGCATGAGGGCGTGAGGGCATGAGGGCGTGAGGGCATGAGAGCATGAGGGCATGAGGGCATGAGGGCATGAGGGCGTGAGGGCATGAGGGGATGAGGGCATGAGGGTATGAGGGCATGAGGGCATGAGGGCATGAGGGTGTGAGGGCATGAGGGCATGAAGGCATGAGGGGAGGAGGGCATGAGGGCGTGAGGGCGTGAGGGCGTGAGGGCATGAGGGCATGAGGGCATGAGAGCATGAGGCCATGAGGGGATGAGGGCATGAGGGCATGAGGGCATGAGGGCGTGAGGGCATGAGGGGATGAGGGCATGAGGGTATGAGGGCATGAGGGCATGAGGGCATGAGGGTGTGAGGGCATGAGGGCATGAGGGCATGAGGGCATGAAGGCATGAGGGGATGAGGGCATGAGGGCGTGAGGGCGTGAGGGCGTGAGGGCATGAGGGCATGAGGGCATGAGGGCATGAGGCCATGAGGGGATGAGGGGATGAGGGCATGAGGGCATGAGGGTTTGAGGCCATGAGGGCATGAGGGCATGAGGGCATGAGGGCATTAGGGCATGAGGGGATGAGGGCATGAGGGCGTGAGGGCGTGAAGGCATGAGGGCATGAGGGCATGAGGGCATGAGGGCGTGAGGGCATGAGGGCATGAGTGCATGAGGGCATGAGGGCATGAGGGCGTGAGGGCATGAGGGCATGAGTTCATGAGGGCATGAGGGCATGAGGGGCTGAGGGCATGAGGGAATGAGGGCGTGATGGCGTGAGGGCATGAGGGCATGAGGGCGTGATGGAATGAGGGCGTGAGGGCATGAGGGCATGAGGGCGTGAGGGCATGAGGGCATGAGGGCATGAGGGCATAAGGGCGTGAGGGCATGAGGGGATGAGGGCATGAGGGCATGAGGGCGTGAGGGCATGAGGGGATGAGGCCGTGATGGAATGAGGGCGTGAGGGCATGAGGGCATGAGGGCGTGAGGGCATGAGGGCGTGAGGGCATGAGAGCATGAGGGCATGAGGGCATGAGGGCATGAGGGCGTGAGGGCATGAGGGGATGAGGGCATGACGGTATGAGTGCATGAGGGCATGAGGGCATGAGGGTGTGAGGGCATGAGGGCATGAGGGCATGAGGGCATGAAGGCATGAGGGGATGAGGGCATGAGGGCGTGAGGGCGTGAGGGCGTGAGGGCATGAGGGCATGAGGGCATGAGAGCATGAGGCCATGAGGGGATGAGGGCATGAGGGCATGAGGGCATGAGGGCGTGAGGGCATGAGGGGATGAGGGCATGAGGGTATGAGGGCATGAGGGCATGAGGTCATGAGGGTGTGAGGGCATGAGGGCATGAGGGCATGAGGGCATGAAGGCATGAGGGGATGAGGGCATGAGGGCGTGAGGGCGTGAGGGCGTGAGGGCATGAGGGCATGAGGGCATGAGGGCATGAGGCCATGAGGGGATGAGGGCATGAGGGCATGAGGGCATGAGGGCGTGAGGGCATTAGGTCATGAGGGCATGAGGGCATGAGGGCATGAGGGCGTGAGGGCATAAGGGCGTGAGGGCATGAGGGCATGAGGGCATGAGGGTGTGAGGGCATGAGGGCATGAGGGCATGAGGGCATGAGGGCATGAGGGCGTAAGGGCATGAGGGCATGAGGGCATGAGGGCGTGAGGTTAGAGATAGGTGAAAACATAAACCCTCATGCCCTCATGCCCCCATACCCTGCCAAATCTCATAGACCCGATAGGTTAAAACATGGTAGGGGGGTGGGGAATGGTATAATTTAATGGAAATGTGAATACATATGGTATTCACTGTATTTGTACAGAAAGAAAAATGCGTCAGCCGGTACGGTCAGCATGCACGCTTGTGTGTAGGTACAAGGCGGAACTGGAACTCTGAAAGCTCCCAAATTATGTGGATCGGAAATGTTATAACCTAGTTTTAATGAAGTAGAAGGCCTAATATAGTGGACTGGCAAGAATATGGTACTAACTGCCTCTCTACAATCATAAGTAATGCGCTGGTCTGTTTTGTCGTTATGCGCGCCTGTTGTGCAGGTACCATGTACGTCTGGAATGTCTATATCTGTCAAATTACATACATCTGATAGGTTAAAACATGGTAGGGGGGTGGAGAATAGTATAATTTAAAAGAAATGGGTATACATATAGTATTCACCGTATTTGTATAGAGAGAATAATGCGTCGGCTGGTAAGGTCATTATGCACTCTTGTTTGTAGGTACAAGGCGGAACTGGAACTCTGAAATCTCCCAAATGATGTGGATCGGAAAGGTTATAACCTAGTGTTGTTGAAGTAGAAGGCCTAGTCTAGTGGATTGGCAAATATATGGTACTAACTGCATTTCTAGAAACATAAGTAATGCGCTGGTCATTTTGGTCGGTATGCGCGCTTGTAGTGCAGGTACCATGTACGACTGGAATGTCTATATCTGCAAAATTACATAGATCTGATAGGTTAAAACATGGTAGGGAGGTAGGGAATGGTATAAATTTAAATGAAATGGGAATACATATGATATTTGTTGTATTTGTACAGAGAAAATAATGCGTCGGCCTGTAAAGTCAGTATGCACGCTTGTGTGTAGGTACAAGGCGGAGCTGGAACTATGAAATCTCCCAAACTATGTGGATTGGAAAGGTTATAACCTAGTGTTGTTGAAGTAGAAGACCTAACCTAGTGGACTGGGTGGGTGGGGAGCATGTGACGGAGGGCAGAGGCTAAGCAGGAAGCAGTGGGCGTGTGCGTGTGCCCTTCTCCACATGTATGGTGTAATGCAATTGAGCTCCCACCCACCCTCCCACCCGTGCTTGCATGACCACTGACTCCAATCCCTGACTCCCTCCTCATGGCCAATCTTGCACATCTGCACTACACTCACCACCACCTCCCGCAGCAACAACTGGTATGATGGCAGCAGACAGCAACGTAGGTAGACGGGGTGATGGCGTGGGACTAGGGTGGCATGCTGGCGGCATGCAGGAGATGAAGACTTGGATTCGAGGTGAAATCATATAAGTGTGCTGTGCACTGCAGTGGGGCGAAGCAAAAAGCTCGCCCTCCTTAACGCTTGTGTCACAAGACCATGAGAAAAAAAAATCGATCTTGGTGGGCCCTAGGACAGTTCCCACTGGGGAACCTGCTCGATACCATGAGAAACTTAGAACGAGAATGGATTGACTAAGGAATGAAATTGATACAAATATGAAACCCTAGAATTGTGTACCCCTTAGTATCTAACCCGCTACAGCCTACACAGGCTAGATCATATACCGTATTCTCCTAGATATAGGATCCTCCCGAAAAAAAGACCCCCGGGACTTTTGAACGGTACTGGGACTCTTAATATGTAGCACATGTGAGAGGACCCCCCTTTTGCTACAAAACATTTTAAGACCCCCCTTTTCTGTATATAGTAGTTAAATATAAATATGCGCGTCAGCTTTTAGAGGCACAGAATCCGAAATTTGACGCATCATTTGTGTCAGAATTGGGTTCTGACACACCAATCATGTCGGACACGAGATCTGACGTTTCTGACGCGCCGCTCGCGCGAATTTCGAGCATGCGAGATTTTTCGGTTCGAACATAAGACCCCCCCCCCCCTTTCAAATTCGGGTGTACACCCCTAAATCGCATAACTGTACTTGATTAATAAGTGTACCCGGGTCTTATACAACTCGTTCCGATTAAATGTTCACCCTAACCAATTTGCCTCTATTTTAGGAAAGTCCCCCGCGTCTTATATCCGGGAGAATACGGTAAGTTTGACAAATCTGACTCACGTCCAGCTCCTGACAGCTCCTGCTGACTGGACCCGCATCCAGTGCAGGGTCCGAATGTGAAGGGTACCGAATCTGCAACATATCCGCCTGCTAAAGTAAAAATCGTTACAACGTTTTGAACACATTTCAAATTTTAAAGTTTACGTGCGCTTATAATAAAACAAGTTTTTTCAAGGGGTGCGCTTATAATCGAGGAGGGGATATAAGCGCCATATGCCAATTAGAAGCGCCAGGCGCTTATCCTAGGGTGGCGCTTATATCCGGGGGGAGACGGTACCGGTATGTACAGTAGTCTTGCTCACATAAATGAACTTTTATGCCACGGCACGACCGACAATAATATATACATCATAATAGTTCTCTTGTTTGTTGTGCATTTGCTGCGCATGGTACAGTTGCATTGAACTATCCTTTCTACGGGCTTGCCATTCGAATATTCCACCTAGTACTTTTAGCACCAGCACCTCACCATCACGTAATTTGGTTCAAGAATGCACTAGTAAAAAAAAATGTGAGTTCAGTACGAGTCAAACATTATGGCGAATGAGAGGGAATGGCATTTATGCAGATAAGATATCCAAGAAAATGCCTTCCCAGGTCAGTAGCCAATGCAGACCAGCCAGCAGCACTGCAAACCGTAAACGGCTCTGGCACTGCAGAAAACATGGCGTCACTGGAGCAAACCAGGTATGTAGTTGCAGCAAAGTGGCCATTCAGCTGGTGGGACAAGTGGACAGCATCTAGCCAGTGCAAAGGAAGCCAAAGCAGTTGGCAAAGTTGTTCCCAACGCATTGCAGTCCGCTGCAGCGCCAGTCGGTGGGACACATGACAGGCGAGGCAGTGGCGCACAGAACATCTGCAAGCACAAGCACGAGCACAGGTACAGGTGGGCGGGGCAAAGAGAGGGGAGAGTGAGGGGCGAGGGGAGGCATTGCAGAAGATGGCACGCCACTTACAGGTGTACCAATGGCAGCCTACGTTGGCAGATACGCGTATCACGTATAATACGCTAGCGTATTATACGCTGGGTATATACGCCATACGCCATGGCTGGCGTACAGCTGATACGCTAAAATACGCTGGGCGGGCAGGAAAAAACTTTTTCCCGGGCAGATTTCGCCCTCGAACTGTAGGGAGTAGGGGTCGCCATGGCAAGGAAGTACTAAAGCTAGGAGAGTTTGAGCTCGACGAGAGTCGGACGAAATGCAAGATGAGAAATGCGGGATTGAATGAAAGAGGAGCTGTTTAGGGATTGAGATGTTCGAACGAGTGAAAGGGGGGAGGTTGGGTTTGGGAGGTTGAGAGGGGTGGTGTGTGGTTGGGGATGTGGGAGGGGTTGAATTTTGAATTTCGAATTGCAGACAGGAGTTGGGCTCTGTGTGAGGTCGAGGGTTCAATTCTCGCTGTCGCAAATTCTTGCAATTTTTAATGGAGTTTTTTTTTTTTTTTTTTTTTTTTTTTTTTTTTTTTTTTTTTACCGGGCTGCCTCGGCGTATTTTAGGATTTCCAGGCGTATTAGCGTATTGCGTACATACGCTAGCGTATATACGCAATACGCCCACCCCCCAAGGGCGTATCTGCCAACGTAGATGGCAGCAGCACCCTGCCCTTGCGCACCCCACACTCACCAACGCAAGCCATCGGCAGCGTGGTGGCCCCAACAGCGTTGGGCGTGCCAGCCGCGAAGGGCGCAGAGGCGTTGACGGTGCAGATGCCACGGCCGTAGCACAGCATGCCCTGCGCCGTGTCGGAGAGGCAGAAGCTGCACCCCGTCGTGCGCTGCACCGTGCCCTTGGTGGTGCACCCGGTGACAGCAAGGAAGCAGTTGTTGTTGGCGCCGCATGATGTGGCGGAGTTGGTCGGGAAGGAGCCCGAGAGGAAGTTAAAGCCCACGTCGATGTCCTTGAGCCCCGCCGCTAGTGGTGGCACGCGGTATGTGAGGTAGTTGTAGGACATGCCGCTGGCAGGAGGGCAGAAGGAAAAAGGGGGTTGGGGGAGGGACGGATGGATGAGAGAAGGATGGAGGTGCCGTGAAGGCAACCTATTTGATGGCACAAGAGTTGACACAGAAGCAGCGGTCAAAAGGGGTTGGCAGTTTGCTAAGGAGCAGACACGTGCATGGCAGCATGGAGGTGGCGCTTACAGGCGCGTGAGCTTGGGCATGGCGACGAGGCCAGGAGGCAGACTGCCGTAGAACCAGTTGAAGTCCAGCAGGCTGCGGCATGCACGTGACCAACACGCACAGCATGGCCCACACGCACAGCATGGCCCACACATACACACATATTCATACACAATGGGTTGCAGAGGGAGGACAGAAAAACGGGGTCAGTTGGCAAGGCGAGGTGGTGTGGGAGAAAAAGCTAGACGGTGGGAGAAAGAGGTGATGCAAACAATGCATTGCGCTGCTGCGAGGTTGGGCGGCGACTCACAGCACTGCAAGGTTGGGCAGCGATGGAATCTTGCTGGCAAACTCGTCCAGACGCGCCCTGAAGAGGTTCGACTTGAGCGAGCTGCCATGCACACGCCAGTGACACACGCAGGGAGGAGGGTTGAAGTGAAGGTATAGATTGGTGGTGGATGCGAGTAGGGGGCAGCCAGCTGACGAGCCAGCATGTGCATGGCCAATCATGGAGCGGCAAGCGAGCACGCTCAATCACACCACTTGCTCCAGCATGCGAGTGCGTAGGCAAGAGTGAGTGCTCAGGGAATGAGGAGTGCTTGAAATTCTTAGCCCTATTTTGCATGTTTCTCGTTGCAGCCATGGTTGAAAATGAATCTGGCTTTACTGATTATCTTGGTGAACCTTGATTACAAGAAGTTGAGTGCTGATGTGAATAGTAGCGAATATAAGAGATTGTGCTTACAGGAATGTGAGTGCAGTGAGCTTGGTGATGTCAGCATGCAGAATGCCAAACAGCTTCTGACTGTCCAGGGTGCTGTGGGGAGGCGGGGATGGGAGGGGGCCAGAGAGGCAGTAAGGAGGGAAGGTGGGAGCACAAGTAGACAGTGGAGTGAGTTAAGTGAGGCCGGCCATACTGGAGCAGAATGGGGAAACGAATGGGGGATTTGAAACAGAAACAAATACACAAGACAAGAGCACAGAGGCGATTTGTTCTCCACGGAGAGGATTCCCTTTCTTCCGTCTGACCCGCCTAAAGCCCCCGTAACAGCCACCCAGGGAAGGCCCCCACTAGTGCTTGGTGCTCACATCTTGACGGGCTGGCCCGCACTGTTGCACTCGACGCCGGTGAAGCCGCCGAGGGCCGTGCCGGCAGCCGTGCAGGTGGAGGTGGTGGCCCAGTCCGTGTAGGTCAGCCCCAGCGCCATCTTGATGTTCATCAGCGCGCCCACTGGTGGCAGGGGGCGGTGGGACACACGGGCAGGAGAGATGAGAGGCATGGGCATGAACATGGGCATCAGACGTGAGACTCACGGTGGCAGCAGCACGACGCCTAGCCGCAGCCATACCTGCGGTGGCGTTGGTGGCGACGGGCTGTGGGGGAGGGCAGGTGATGGCGAGTTGGGGACTTCCGCTGGTCTGGCGATTGGTGGCGGCCCTCACGGCCGCGGGGTCGGGCTGGCACGTGGTGGTGCCGCCACACAGCGTGCCGTTGGCATTGGTGGTGCCGCAGACGGCGCAGGAGTAGCGCTGGATGATGTTGCCGTTGCCGCACGGCGTGGGGTCGATGAAGCAGTTCTGGCGCACGGTGCAGAAGTCCCACGTGGCCGTGGTGGTGGCGGCCGTGGGGAAGGTGTAGGTGAGCCAGTTGTACTCCAGGTCCAGCGTCCTCAGCTTCGGTGGCATGTCCGGCACCGTGCCCGTCAAGTAGTTCCACCCCAGGCTCCTGCGGGTCGCACACGCACACGCACACGCGCAGGGGGAAAGGGGTGGGCGATGGCGCATGGCAAGGTGTGGCACGGCATGCAGAGCAGATAGTGCATGGAATCTAACAAGGGTGGTCGTGGGGTGAGGCAGTGCAGGGGGCTGCGAGCATGGGGTGGCAGGGCAGGGGGCAGAGGGCAGGGGCTCACAGCAGCATGAGGTTCTTGATGGCGGAGATGGAGGCGGGGATGGAGCCCGAGAAGAAGTTGTAGTTCATGATGCTGCGGCACGCGCGCACACATAGGAGGGTGCGGGGGGGAGGAGGGCAGGTCCCACACGGCAGGTTAGAGCGGAGGAGGGACAGGCAGGAAAAAGGCACCAAGAGCGGCCAAGGTACAAACAAGGAATGCAAGAGAGTGCGGGAGAAGAGAGGACGGGGGGGTGGGGGGAGGCGTACAGGATCTTCATGCCGGTGAGGCCGGTGAGCGGTGTGATAAAGGGGTCCAAGCGCCCCGACAGGAAGTTGCCCGACAGGTCGCTGCAGAGGGGGGTTGGGAAGGAGAGGGGGGGAGGGGAGGCATGAGAAGACGGGAGAGCAGGAGGGCAAGCCGTTGTGGAGGGCGATCGGAAAGAGCAGCAGAGTGTGGCGAGCAGCGGAGTGTGAAGCTGAGGAGAGTGTGGCGAGCAGCAGCAGCAGGGCACTGACAGGGCGGTGAGGCCGGTGAACTTGGAGATGTCGGGGGGCATGACGCCGCGCATGAGGCGCCACTTGAGGAAGAGGTCGATGACCTTGCCCTGCCAGTTGCAGTACACCGCCGGCATGTCCTCCGGGCCCTTGGGGATGCCCGACACCGTACACATCGTCTGCTCGCCCCACCCCGGGTGCGGCACTCCCAGCGCCGTCTTGAGGGTCGCCAGGATTGGCACTACAGGGAGGGCGGCAAGTAGGGGGAAAAGCAGAGGGGCAAGCAGGGGTGCAAGCAGGGGGGACACACAGCGGTGATATAACCGGAAAGAGGGGAGGGTGGAGCACCAAAGACCGCCGAGGGCATGGCAAGTGGGGCGAGGAGTGAGGATGCGAGCAGCAGAGGAGCAGACACATGGAGCAGACACATGGAGCAGGCACATGGAGCAGTCACATGGAGCAGTCACATGGAGCAGGCACATGGAGCAGGCACATGGAGCAGGCACATGAAGCAGGCACATGGAGCAGGCACATGGAGCAGTCACATGGAGCAGGCACATGGAGCAGTCACATGGAGCAGTCACATGGAGCAGGCACATGGAGCAGGCACATGGAGCAGGCACATGGAGCAGGCACATGGAGGAGGCGCGGAACTCACGAGCTGCGGGGTCGATTCGAACTCCAGTGCAGCGCATGGGCAGCACGCCAGCGGTGGCGCTGTTGGGCGTCTTGGAGGCGAGCGGGCCGTCCGTGTTGGGCGAGCACACGCCCCCACCGCACAGCACATAGGCGGCGTCGCCATTGCAGATGGTGCAGGAAGCGCGCTGCACGGAGGAGCCCGACGAGACGCAGTTGGCGGCGCTGCTTAGGCAGTTGTTGCGCGCGTCACACATGGTGGTGGAGGACGCAGGGAAGGGGCCCGCCAGGAAGTTGGAGGCGACGTTGATGGTCTTGAGGGTTGCTGCTATGGGGGCCAGGTAGCCGGTGAGGTAGTTGTAGTGCACGTTGCTGCAGGCGGGACGGAAGGCGGCAGAGTGGTGGGGGCGGTGGAAGAGAAGGGAGAATGGTGGGAATGGTGGTCGGAGAGGGTGGGGTGTGAGGCGTTGGGTGGGTGGTGAGAGTACAAACGCAAAGACCAAACGCACACACACCATGGGATTCATGTGTGCGCATGCAAGCAACGGGTGTGTCGGTCTGTGTGTGTGTGTGTGTGTGTGTGCGCGCGCGCGCGCGCACGCGTGTGTGTGTGTGCGCCACTTACAGGGTTGTGAGGGTCGAGAGAGAGAGCAGATAGGCTGGCAGAGTGCCGGAAAACCAGTTGTAGTTGAGAGCGCTGTTTGGGAGGGGTGGAGAAGGGCGAGATGGAAAAGTGAGGGATGGAGATGTGGAGGGTGGAGAAGGTGGAGACGGGTGGCAAGGCAATGCGAGCATAAGGAAAGTGAGAGTAAGTCAGGGCGGGCAGGGCAGAGCCGGGAGGGCAAGGCAGGCAAGGCAGGCAAGGCAGGGCAGGGCAGGCAAGGCAGGGCAGGCAAGGCAGGGCAGGGCAGGCAAAGCAGGGCAGGGCAGGCAAGGCAGGGAAGGGAGGGCAGGGAGGGCAGGGAGGGCAGGCAGGGCAGGGAGGGCAGGGAGGGCAGGGAGGGCAGGGCAGGCAAGGCAGGGCAGGGCAGGGCAGGGCAGGGTAGGCAAGGCAGGGAAGGGAGGGCAGGGAGGGCACTGACAGGTGCTTGAGCGACTTGACGGTGGTGAGCATGGTGCCCCACTCGGCCAGGCGCCCCTCCAACAGGTTGGACGCCAGGTTGCTGCCATCGCCGGGGGGATACGGAGGGGTGGGGGGGGAGTGGTGGGATGGATGGATGACTGCATATGAGTAAGGCACTCACACGAATGAGTATGACGCTCACATGAATGAGTATGACGCTCACATGAATGAGTATGACGCTCACATGAATGAGTATGACGCTCACACGAATGAGTATGACGCTCACACGAATGAGTATGACGCTCACATGAATGAGTATGACGCTCACATGAATGAGTATGACGCTCACATGAATGAGTATGACACTCACATGAATGAGTATGACGCTCACATGAATGACTATGAGGCATTTTGCTTGGAAAGAAAAAGATGGTGGGCCGAGGTTGGTGGTGTGGCAGAGCAGTGGGAGGGGCGCTCACATCTTGGTGAGAGCCGTCAGCTTCGTCAAGTCGGCAGGCAGGCTCCCTCTGAGACCCATGTTGACCAGATCACTGGGGTGACGCCACCATGCCACCCGCAAGCAAAACACAGGAATGAGATGAGTCAGCAACTTGAAGCAGAAAAATGAAGGAGACGGGAGAGAAGAAAGAGGAAAAGAAATAAACGAAAAGGAGACAGGAGAGAAATAAAGAAGTGTTCAATCCTGCAGCTTTCTTATTTTCCGCGAACATCCCGTGCAGAACATGTCACGGGCACCAAGGGCGTGAAGGAGACGAAGGGTACCAAGGGCACCAAGGGCGTGAAGGGCAGCAAGGGCGTGAAGGGCGTGTGGCACTCACAGCTGTACGACTTGGCCGGCGACATCACAGCCAACGCCCGCCCAGCTGCCCAGCATGGGGGTGTTGCCCACCACGTCGCACGGCGAGTCCAGCAGCCACGTGCTCTGCGACACTCCCAGCGCCGCCCTCAGCACCAGCAGTGTTTGCGCTGTCGCCACATGCCCACGGGGAAGGCGGGCGGTTGGAAAGGGAGGTGGGGAAGGAATGGGATTGGAGTGGAGGCAGAGAGAGGGTGGTGAGGAAAAAATCTAGGCGACAAGAGGTATGATGCACAGCACAGTGTGGCATGTCACGCATGTGTGAGTGTGCATATCACGCAAGTGTGCACATGTGAAGCATGCAGGCAGCGGGCATGGGCGCACCAGCAGTGGCGTCTATAGCGGGGCGGCCGCAGTAGAAGGGCAGCAGGGGCGCCGTGAGGTTGTTCACCGTGCCGGCTGCCAGGGCGTCTGTGGCGTTGAGAACGCAGGGGGCGCCGTTACACAGCGGCGGCACGGCATTGGTGGTGCCACAGATGGCACAGCCGGTGGTGCGCTGGGGGATGCCAAAGAGGCTCAAGCAGTTGTTGCGGAAGTCGGAGTACTTGTAGGCCTGTGGCGTGATGGGGCCCGCAAGAAAGTTGTTGGCCACGGTAATGGCCTGCACCTTGGTTGACACGCTCGGCAGCACACCCGTAAAGTAGTTGCCACTCAGCCCTCTGCACGGGCAGCACGGGCGATGCATGGTATGTGAATAGAGATCCTGGATGGATATTCTGATGGATGGAACAACCACTGACATACAGATGCAGAAAGGAGGGTAAAGCTCCAGCAGCATCCACTCCAGGAGCTTAAGTCCTGTCGGGCCTTCCCTATGCTTATCAGCGCATCCACACCAAGGGCGCTAGAAAGAGAGGAGTCCCACACCTCACTGACAGCACTCCCCCACGCCTCACTGACAGCACTCCCCCACACCTCACTGACTGCACTCCCCCACGCCTCACCAGCAGCGGAGCCAATGGCCGTTACGGCCCTAGAGGCTACCGCGTCTAGGAGCGTGCGCAGTGTGCATAATAAACCTCACAAACGCACTGGGTGGAGGTGGGTATCCCGGTCTAGGTGCTAGCGGTGTGGTTACAGGAAAACTGACATTTCGGTGAGGGATGGCATGTTGAGAAGAGCGAAGGGTATGCTGTCGTAGAGGTAGTTGAAGCTCAGGTTCCTGGTGGACAAGGTTGCATGCAGAGGGGGGCAAGGTTGCATGCAGAGGGGGGCAAGGTTGCATGCAGAGGGGGGCAAGGTTGCATGCAGAGGGGAGCCCGTGGGCGCACGATTGAATTGTCATCAATGGCGGTGGCAAGCAGGGCAGGGGAAAGGGGAGGACAGCGAGGGCAGAGCAGAATGAAGCAGCGACAGCAGAGCATGTGAGAGGGAGGTGCGCGTATGGCATGTCAAAAGGAGGTGGCAGATGGGGCGAGGGAGGGAGGCGAGGGCAGGGCACGCACAGGACGACAATAGTGGTGAGCAGGGTGATGCTGGAGACAAAGGTGGCGAGGCGGCCATACAGCAGATTATAACCCAGGTGCCTGCAGGGGGGGAGGGAGTGGGGGGAGATGTAGGGAAAATGGGGGGGAGAATGGTAGGATTATAGGGGGAAGGGGCGAGAACCTAAGGAAATGGGGGTGAAAAGGGGGAGAATGCAAATATAGGTCGGTGATGCACTCACAGGTGGGTGATGCACTCACAGGTGGGTGATGCACTCACAGGTGGGTGATGCACTCACAGGTGGGTGATGCACATACAGGTAGGTGAGGCTGGTGAGTTTGGTCATGTCTGCATGTATGGTGCCCCGCAGCTTCAGGTTGTTCAGCTTGCTGCCATGGCAGCACGCACAGCGGAGGGGTGAGAGGGACGGCAGAAGAGAGGCATGAGAGGAGAGACGATGCTTTGGGACAGTGCGGCCAACTTGGGGGTGAGGGATTGCAGAACGAGAGCGAGAGAGCCAGGGGGGCATGTTGGTTCCAGTACAGGGATAACATGGAAGGTACGGAAGCATCATACCAACATACTGCCTTGGGGGTGAGGGTGAGAGAGCCATACATGGGCGTCCTCCCCTCCATTCCTCTTCATGTCCCAGCAGCCTCATATATGGGCTGTTGACGTTCTCCCAGCCGCCTCAACGTCCTGAGACGAGCGCCCAGTCGATAAAAGCAGGCAAGAGAGCGCAAAGAGGGGGTGAAAGTGGGGGGGGCTCACAGGGAGACGACGGCGCCGCTGCCGCTGCACCAGACACCCGGGAAGGACTTGGGGGCGATGGTCTGCCCAATGATGTTGCAGGTGCTGCTGGCAGTCCAGTCCGTGTGCGTCACTCCCAGCGCCGCCCCGATGTTGAGCAGCACGGCCGCTGCTCATGGGGCGCATGCAGGGGGACAGCACGTGGAGACAGGGGTGAGCGTCCGTGCACACACGTCCATGAAAGCACGTATCGTGAATGCATGTGGGCAGCAGGGAAGGGAAGGCAGCAGGCAGCATGGCACACTGCAGGCGCTAGAGTGGGCTGGTGCCGGGTGTGCTGTGGAGCGCACGGCATGGGTATGGTATGCGGGCACTCACAGGACGTGGCATCAAGGGCCAAGGGGGGGCACTTGAGGGCGAGGGTGGGCGCGCTGGCACTGTTGGCCACTTTGCCCGCCACATACGCGGAGGGGTCGGGCGTGCACACGGCCCCGCCACACATCGGCAGCTGCCCGTTGGACGACCCACACACGTTGCACCCGGCGCCTCTCTGCAAGGTGCCGTCGAAGTTGACGCAGGCAGATGCATTGAGGAAGCAGTTGCCGCGCACGGTGCAGTAGCCCAGAGAGGCGGCGGGGAAGGTGCCCGAGAGGAAGTTGAACTCCGTGTCGAGCGCCTTGAGTGTGGCCGCAGGCTTGGGCAGCGTGCCCGTGAGGTAGTTTCTGCTCAGCGCGCTGGCGAGTTGCACGCACAGCACAGGAAACAAGGGCTGCGCGTTAGGAACGAATGGGTGCAGCTCGAAGCGGTATGATGGACGGGGGGGGAATGTGAGAGGTGGGGCAGTGAAGTAGTTGGAGAAGAGGAGTTGAGTGAAGGAGGGTGTGCGGCGAGGGCTTTACAGAGCGGAGAGGGCAGCCATGTTGACGAGCGTGGTGGGGACGGTGCCATAGAACCAGTTGAAGTTGATAAAACTGTTGGGGAGAGGGGTGAGGGAGCACGTACACACACATGCATATAAGCACATATGCACACATTCACACACCATGCACACACACATGCACGCATGCACGATCGCGCAGAGGGCCGAAGTGAAGGAGCACAAGAGCAGAAAAAACGGAGACGTGCGAAGAGGCAATCAGAGAGAGGGTGGGGGGAAGAAGGGGGGGGGGTTGGATTTAGGGGCGTGGTTGCACTGACAGCTCCTTGAGGCTGGCTGCGGCCGTGATGGGCACGATGTAGGAGTCGAGGCGGTTGAAGAAGAGGTTGGACGACAGCCGCCTGCACACAGGACCAGGGGTGGCGGAGGGAGGGGGGATAATGTGGGTGGCAAAAGGGTGAAACAACGTGGAAAGATGATGAAGGGGTGCGAGAGAGAGGGCGGGCTTGTGATGCCATGTTGAGGCTGCGAGAGTGGCTGCTGCGAGCAGCACAGCCAATGGCATAAGATGTGGGCGGGGTACCACACAGGCTGCCGCTGCCCTCACATTGCTGACACGGCTCACAGAGAGTGAAGGGATGGCTTACAGCGAGGTGAGGGTGGTGAGCTTGCTGATGTCCGAGTGCACTGTGCCACCCAGTTGCTGGCCCTGCAGCTCACTGCACAGCGGGTTTCAGGGAGAAGCAGGGGCAGGAAGGGGCAGGGGAAACAGGTGAGTGAGAGGCGGCAGGAGAAGCACCCGCGGCGCACAGGCAGAGCGGGGTGGGGGAGGGAAGGTCAGCAGGACCGTCGCAGCACTCACAGGGCGACGACTTGGCCGAGCGGAGAGCAGCGCACGCCAGTCCACGCCCCAGCAATGGGTGTCTGGCCCTGGATGGTGCACGACCCCACCAGCTTCCAGTCATACTGCATCATCGACCCCCTCCCTTGCAGCACGCGCCGCTTCCCCCCCGACTTGGGCTTCTTGCCGGTCTTGGTCTTAGGGGAGGTGGCCTTGGGGGCGGCGAGCGTGGCGGCGGTCCAATCAGAGAAGGTGGCGCCCAGCGTGGTCTTGAGTGCCAGCAGGATGTTGCCCTGCGTGGCGTCCAGCGCCACGCCCACGCAGAAGCGCGGTCGCGGAGCGTAGTTAGGGCCGTTTGGGTATATGTTGATTGTGTTGGGCACACACGTGCCGCCGCCGCAGATGGTGCCCGTGCCGTCCGGCGAGTCGCACACGGCGCACTCAGTAGTGGCGTTGCGCTGCACCGTGCCTCCCGTGGTGCAGGCGCCAATGCTGGCGAAGCAGTTCTTGGTGGCGGAGCAGGAGGAGAAGCCGGCGCCGGGGAAGGTGCCCGACAGCCAGTTGCCGTCCACAGCGAGCGTCTTGAGTGCGGGGGCCAGAGGGGGCACGGCACCGTACAGGTAGTTCCACCTCGCCCCACTACGGTGAGAGGGGGAAAAGAGAGGGAGGAGAGGATGGGCGGGAGGTGTGAGTGTGGAGCATTTGAGTGGACCGGAGAAGCCTTAGAGAAGGAGCGGCACGGCTCCGGGCAGCGACACACAGGCAGTGGTGTGAGAGGGATGAGGCAGAAGCATGGACGGTACCTGCGTGAGGTCAAACTGGTTAAAGAGTTGGGATGTGGGCGTGAGGTGGAGGCGGCAAGTGTCATATTATCATCTTCATTGTAACCTGCATCTATCCTATAAGCTTCGGCTCGAGATAGGCACCCAAACTTAGTTTGGGTGCACAACTAGGGTTAACCCTAGTTTGAGGTTGGAACCCAATCTTGGCCCAATTATTGGGTCCCAAGGTTGGGTTGGGAGATTATTGGACCGCTCAATAATGTTGACCCACTTTGGTCAACATTATTGGTTCCCCCAATAACTCCCCAACCCAACTTATTGGTGGGGGCCAATTATGTTGGCAATATTACCTCCCATTCTAGCTCAACTATGTATACCCGCATGTTTCTCTTAATGCAACCATCAGTTCTTCTTCAAACTTTGTCACAGCAAGGCAGAGAAACTCTGAAAGAGGAGGGAGTGACAAGGGGCGGTGATACTCACAAGGTGGAGAGGGAGGCCATGGCCACGAGGGCGGAGGGGATGGGCCCCGAGAAGTAGTTGTAGTCAAAGTAGCTGCAGGGGCACACGGAGGAGAGGCCGGAAGGGGGTATGGGAGTGGGTGGGTGGGTGGAGAAGCATGGGAGTGGTGAGATTGTGAGACGGCACGAGGAGGTGACACGGCGATGCTACAACAGCAGCTTCTTTCGAGGCAAGCCCGTGCAGTGAAGTGGTCCCATGGAGCTGCCACTCAAGCACGTGCAGTGCAGCGCGATGCGGCGCGGTGCGGTGCAGTGGTCGCATCTCATCCGAGGCAGGCGGCACTCACACTTCCTTGAGCGCCGTGAGCGCCTTGAAGTTGGTGGTGAAGACGTCCAGACGACCCTCCAGGTAGTTGGTGCGCACATTGCTGCGAGGGATGCAGGGGGCCCAGGCACAGAGGAGAGCAGAGAGACGCAGGCGTGAGATGGAAGGTGAAGCAAGGAATGAGGAAGAAAGGTGAAAGCGCAGATGAAGTGAGAGGGACAACGGACACAGGAGGGGACGGATGGAAGCATGCAGCGAGCATATGCACACATGCATGGAAGCATTTGCACATGGAAAAGTGACTAGTGGGGAGGACAGCAGGTGGGGTGGGGGGGCAGCATGTCGATCGGAGCAGGCAGAGCAAGTAGGCATGCGACGGGGAGAGCGAGGAGAGGGGTGAGAGCAAGAGGAGGTGGGGTAGTGGGAAGAGCCATGGCTGCTGCAGCTTGGGGGCCTGCTGCATAGCCTGGATGAGGGGTAGAGGGGGCCGGATGGCGGATGAGTAGCATGAGATCTAGAACAGGCTGTTAGGCACAGACATCGTCTGCCTGCTTGCATCCTGAAGATCCGCCTGCTTGTACCTGCTGCGGAATCAATATAAGGGACCGTTAGGGAAGAGAGGAGAAAGGGGTATGATGAGAGGGATGTGATTTACATGATCACATGCACGTGTGGGCTTACATGTAGGTGAGGGAAGTGAGCTTGGAGATGTCCGCATGCATGGTCCCTCGAACATACTGCTGCGCCAGATTGCTGCACAATGAGTAACCGCCACACAGACACAACACAATCACACACACAAGGCACACACAGAAGCACATGCACGAAAGACAGAGTCTAGCTGACAAGGATCTCAGAGAATGACAGCAGCCCATGAGGAGTGGCACATGAACGGAGGTGCAGTGCGGGTTCAGAGGCACTCACAGCGAGATGAATTTGCCCCAAAAGGCACTCAAAGCGATATGACTTCGCCTGGGGAGGACAGTGCGGGTGCAGTGCGGGTTCAAAAGGCACTCACAGCGCGACGACTTTGCCGTTGGGGCTGCAGAGGACGTTGGACCAGGCGCCTGGCAGCGGCGGCACCCCCTGCATGGTGCAGGGCGCGCCCAGCGCCCAGTTGGTGAACGCCAGCCCCATCGACGCCTTCACGTTCAGCAGCGCCGCCGCTGCGAGTAGCAAGGAGGGGAGCAAGGGGAGGGGGTGAGGGGAGGAAAGGTAGGGGAGGGACAGAGAGGCAGCAGTCTGTGAACGTCACCCCCAGCGATGCCCTCACGTTCGGCAGCGCCGCTGCTGGGTGAGGGGAAAGGGGGGAGGAGAGGGGGGGGGGGTGAGAGGGGGGGAAGGTTAAAAAGTGTAGAGTGGGAAATGGATGGCGTCGAACAAGGTAAGGATGCGGGGGGGAAGGGACAGAGAAGGGAACGGACACAGCACAAGTGGTGAGAAAGTAAGAGCTGCATGGCTGTGCGGGCACACGATTGGTGATGTACCAATGCATGCGCCCCTGCGTATTTCTCGAGACAACTCAAAAGCCATAATGCAAGGGCCACACGCACTGCCTGCTCCCCGCACTGCACAATCCTCCCCCCCAGCACACTGACCCATGGCAGGATCCATGGAGGAGCCAACGCAGAAGAGCGCGGCGGTGCCATTGTTGACAGTGGTGGCGGCGGTGGGCGTGCAGATGCCGCCGTTGCACATGCTGCCCGTGGCGTCGGGCGTCTCACAGATGGCACAGGCGCCTGCAGCGCGCTGAGCAGAGCCGGCGGGGCACTTGGAGGCGTCCTGCAGGCAGTTGCTGGCGCAGGAGACGGAGGTGGCGGTGGTGGTGGGGAAGGTGCCCACCAGGTAGTTGCTCGACAGGTCGATCACCTTGAGGGTCCCTGGCAGCGCTGCCGGCATGCTGCCTGTCAGGTAGTTCAGGTTCAGCCGCCTGCATTGCACGCCCCAGTGGTCGACAGCGGTGGATAGTGGTGCACAGGGATTGAAGGGCACGGGAGAGGGGCCGGGAAAATGGAGGGAAAGGCAAGAGGGAGAGAAGAATGGGAGACGCAAAAGGAGTTAGTGCGAACCGGCAAGGTGATGAGCGGTGAGGCATGGTGATGAGTTGCAATGTAACTAACATGGCAGGTAAGGAAGGATGTTTGAGGAGAGAGAGGGGGCAGGGAGGTAACGAGCTTACAGCTCCGTGAGCGCAGTGAGGGCGGAGATGCCGGTCGGGAAGGAGCCCGAGAAGTAGTTCTGGTGGAGGCGGCTGCACGCATGGGCGCAGCACACAGGGGGGTGACGTGATGTGAGTTGGGGCAGAGAGGGAGGGTGAAGGGAGTGCAGGCAGAGAGACAGCACGCAAATGGCAAAAGAGCGGGCACGAAACTCTCATGGGGCTGGGGGAGTAGCTTACAGGGAGTTGAGAGTCTTGAGGGCGAGGAAGGGCGCGAGGAAGGAGTCAAGGCGGCCAGAGAAGAGGTTGGCCGACAGGTCCCTGCCAGCCACGGTGGGCACAGCGCAGCGCAGCGCACACACACGGCACACACGTGCTTGGTGGAATGTATTGGCATTGCAAGGAGTGCAAGGCATGAGCTGGAATGTGAGGGGCATGCAGTGGCGTGTGAGGGGCATGCAGAGGCGTGTGAGGGGCATGCAGTGGCGTGTGAGGGGCATGCAGTGGCGTGTGAGGGGCATGCAGTGGCGTGTGAGGGGCATGCAGTGGCATGTGAGGGGCATGCAGTGGCAGTGAGAGGAGAGCTTACAGCTTGGTAAGCGCGGAGAGCTTTGACACGTGGCTGGGGAAGGAGCCCGAGGCCTTGCCGCCCGTGAGAACACTGTGAGACGCCACGTGGTACACACAGTCAAATGCCACATGGCAGGCACACAGGCATGAGAAGTCCGTTAAGCGAACACGAATGATGGCACCACACGGTGCATGGCACATGCATGAGCACAGTATGGCCTCATGAGTGCACCCTGCTTCATGGCAGCATGCGTGGCGCATGCAGGATGGCGCATGCAGGATGACGCATGCAAGACAACGCATGCACCCGCATCACAGGCATGAAATGGAGGTGCGAAAGGGGGCGGGTTGGGCCGCAGAGAGTGGCGGGGCGAGCAGGCGGGTGTACATTTCGAGGACGAGCCCGGCAGGGTTGCAGTAGACGGAGGGGGAGGTGCCGGCGGCGGTGGGCTGCCCTGCCAACGTGCACGTGGTCTGCGCCCCCCACTGCCCCGGCGTCATGGCCACCAGCGCAGATGCTGCCACGGATGCGCAAGGGGGGGAGGGGAGGGGAGGGAGGAGTGTGCATGAGGGCGTGGTTCAGGCTCAATCGGGATGCTCTCAAGAGGGAGGTCTGCGAATGACCCGTGCAGAGGCAAGGGAGAGAACGGAGCGAATGCCAGCGAATAACAGCCCGGGGCCCTTGACCCTTGCGTTGCACCTTTTTCTGCCAACGTCCCTTCACCTCTTGCGCTCTTCATCCCCCCAGCCCGGAGCCTTGTAGCCGGAACGTCTTCCCAGGAAGGCCGGCGTGCATTGTGTGCAGTGCAGGGGGGGGGGGGGAGAGGGTGGGCGCACCTTGGGTGGCCTGGATGGGTACAGGGTCGCAGCGCATGGCGGGGGCGGGGCTCCACTTGTTGATGGCTGTGATGGGCGATGGCGTCGCAGGCACACACGGGTTGCCCATGCACGCCGTGCCCAGGCCGTCTGTCATGCCGCAGATCTGGCAGCTGGCGCTGGGGTTGGGCGCGTTGGGGTTGAGCGAGTTGCAGGTGGTGTAGGTGGGGATGCAGTTGTAGTAGGCCGTGCAGTAGGTGGCGCTGTTGGCCGGGAAGGTGCCTCCCAGGAAGTTCTGGTCCACCATGAGACGTTTGAGTGCGGTGGAGATGGGTGCCGGGAACGTGCCTGTGAGAGCGTTCATGCTCAGCTCGCTGCATACGGGGGGAAGAATGGAGGGAGGAGGGGAAGTGGGGGAAGGAGGGGGGGAAGAGAGAAGGAGAGGGAGGATGAAGGGGGAGAAGGAGAGGTGAAGGAACAAGCAGAAAAGGCACAAGAGCAGGGGCATGGGGGAGGTGTTCACGTAGGGGGCAAAGGCAATGGCGGTGAGGTAAGTGGAGACATGAGCAGGGGCATGGGTTGAAGGGCATGGGCATGGGTTGAAGGGCATGGGCATGGGTTGAATGGGCAGGGGCATGGGTTGAATGGGCACGGCAGTAACAAGTGCGCAACGGAGTGGTGAGATAGGCGTGAGCAGTTAAAAAGACCGGAGAGGGTGGGCCACTGACAGGTTGGTGAGCTTGGCGAACGAGACGAGCCAGAGGGGCACCGAGCCGTAGAGATAGTTGTTGCTGAGCTTGCTGCACGCGGAGGGGAAGAATGGAGGAGGATGAAGAGGGAGACGAGGACAGAGATGATTGCAAATTAGCAAGGCACTCA